TACAATCTGAGATAACTTCCTTGTAAAACTAATTGGAAATATGAAGTTGGTAACAATAATATCTGGTACTTAGATTTGGTGACTGCATAGGCTTAATAAACATAATAACAAGCATAGCCAATGATTATCAGATAACTGAGGAAGTGTGAAAATTATGCTTTACGACATTCTACAAAGATCACAGCGTTACAAAATTTTGTTAGAAATTCATCGGGATATGTTAAAGTAAAATATGTAATTATAAGGGGCTGTCGAAAGACTTGAAAATTGGTTAAGGCAAACTTACAGAGCCACTATCTGAGCTCACTGTACGGTAGATTCCAATAGGGATCTCACAAGACGTGGAACATAGTTTCTGGTAAAGTCGTCCATAAGTTCGAATCCACAGATCTTCCTTTGTGATCCATACCTATGTGTGTTAATTAATGTGGCATTATTATTTGTTATGACAAAATAGAAAATTCAATGAGCATATAAAAAAGACTTTATATGTAACTCTGAATTATAGACTTAATTTGATATAAAAATCTTCTGTCCGTACTACTTTCCGAAATTGGCCCATTAATTATAAGAACGATAAAGAACAGACGTGTATTTGTTTGAAATTATTTTAGAAACACTTACACCGTGTAAGCCTATACTGATTCATGTTTAAGAGTGGAGGAGCAAGAGTTTGCAAGAAACAATTATTTACATATGGGAGAAAAAACGAATTAAGTAGTCTATACCATAATTATAACTGTACTTATCTTACACGAAACATGTGTAAAAGAGAAAAAAGAATATCGGAATCTGTTTAGTTTCTAGAAGATAAATAGTTGAGAAAAAATGCCTCAAAAGGAGATTAACGTGGACCTAGAGATCTGATCGATTACCAACATAAATATACAGAAGTTTCAAACAAATGTCTACTTACACATGACAGAAACCCTGATCCAGGTGCCTGGTCTATACCCAGAAGAAGACGTACAAATGTGATCATATAGTCCTTCACGAAGGTCTAAAATAATGTTGATATACAAAATGTAAAAGAAATAACAAATATATCTTTTAATTTTTGATGCCCCTCTCCTAAACCGATTATTATCTATAGTAGAAAATAAAACCAACGCAGGCCTGTGTTGTTATCTGTACTAGACAATAAAACCATCGCAGGTCTGTGTTGTTATCTGTACTAGACAATAAAACCATCGCAGGCCTGTGTTATTATCTGTACTAGACAATAAAATAATCGCAAGCCTGTGTTATTATCTGTACTATACAATAAAACTATCGCAAGCCTCTGTTGTTATCTTTACTATACAATAAAACTATCGCAAGTCTCTGTTGTTATCTGTACAAGACAATAAAACCATCACATGCCTGTGTTGTTATCTGTACTAGACAATAAAACCATCGCAGGCCTGTGTTGTTATCTGTACTAGACAATAAAACCATTGCAGGCCTGTGTTATTATCTGTACTAGACAATAAAACCATCACATGCCTGTGTTATTATCTGTACTATACAATAAAACCATCGCAAGACTGTGTTGTTATCTGTACTGGACAATAAAACCATCGCAAGCCTCTGTTGTTATCTGTACAAGATGTATTTCGCGAATATCACGAACTATTAACTCCCATACTAATTAGAATTTTTTCTGGAACATATTTTAATAGAAGAGTTATACTTAATAGTAGGTTTACAAGGAAAGTTATTCTTTAATTTTGTTTTAATAGAAGCATAATTTTAATTAAATTATTTTCTTAATTTTTAGATTTTTGATTATTCTGTATTTGATTTGATAATATGAAAGCTTAAGTTTATCAACTTCGTCTGTTTTATCAACTGCGAAAATATTAGTATCTGGACAAAGGTGAAAGTTATTTGTGTTTTTCTTATTTCTAGTCGTAGGTAGGGGATATTTATTTGTCTTGCTTTATCTAAAGGTAATTTCAAAGTTATTTACCTGATAAAGCATGGTATCCAACATACTGGCACTGAACACATTCCCAGCTGCAAATGGCAACCGGAACATGTAGGAAATATGGGACCCTCGATCTTTCTCTCTCTATTTAAATAAAGCATTAAGGTTATTGTTTCTAATTATCATTATATTACTACTGCTTTAATGAGCGAAGTATTATCTTTCCGTTTCACTCGCTAACGTCTATATAACTATTTTTAACTACTTAACCAATACCACAGATAAATAGAAATGGCTTTTAAGCTTAAGTGTCTAAAACAATGGAAGATTATTATTGCTTTCACTGATAACAGCTTGGATATTACATTCTTACGTCCAACAAATTTAAAATGGCTCCTCGAGGTACGTTACAAGAAGATAAACTGTTCTTACTTTGCCTTTAAGACAGTGGACGTTACAGTCTAAAATTATACATAATTACGTTTGCATTCAACATTGAATTCTAATATTATATAAAAAAGAAAACTTTAGTGACGAAATTAATGGTAAATATTTTCTATTTAATTTCAAATATCATAAAAGATTATGAAATAAAATAGTTTCTAAAGCTTAGAACTGGTACATTATTTCTTATGGCTTAAGAGAAAGACTTAACAATTGTTAAGTTAATAATTACTTTGTAGCTTGTTAATGTAGCTGTAAAAGATTTTGCTAAAAACAGAACATGAGTGAAAATAAATAATAGGATACGTTACTCAATAAACCCCAGAAGATTTTTACCACATCAAATTTAGTTAAATCACGAAACAAAGAAATAATATATTATCCTAAATAAGATTGTTTTGGAAGTATTTGCTAAGACCATTCTAAATTTTAAATTTAAGGATTTGCATACGAAAAATATGAATTTAATTAAAGAACATGGATCTGGTTTTTAGCTTGTCTAATTAAACCAAAGCGTTTTTTTTTTGCGATTGAAGTGATACGTAACGCGATGTAATATCTGCTCAGTCTGAATGTCAAATTTTAAAAAGTTAACACGGCTATAAGTCAATGGTAACTATGCCACACTTAATTTCAAGGCTCAAACCTCTAAATCGTTTACTCAATGCAGAATAATGATTAGACTCAGTCATAAAGTCTAGGTTACTAAAACTCTTATTGTTTTTTTCCTGAAAATGTGAAAGACTGTGATTGGGCAATAATGCAATGTTGACTGGGTAGATGTTTTAAGTAACTGAACTACTGCTCCCTAATGCTGTAAATCTCAGTTTTTATTTCGCTGGTTATTTAGGACCGAATTTGACATTCATATTAAGAGACGTGGATCAAAGAATGCTGAAAGCGATATTGACAAAAGAATATTAGGAATCCAGGAAATATAGTTCTTATAGGTTTGTAATGGCTAGTTAGAACAACCCGGAATACTCCAAAGAAAAGTCAGAGGAGCTATTAAAAAACTAAACATTGAAAATACCTTGAAAGAATATATAAAAGGTGTTTGGGAACCTGGTAGTAAAATTGTTTCAAATATTTTATCATATGGATAGAAATAAATAACCAAAGAACCAGGTGAAATTAATTTGTATTAAAATGCTTAATAAAAGTATCCTTTACAGAAGAATTACAGGGAAATATTTATTGTTTGTTGTTCGTTCAAAATCCTTCTGAACACTACAGTCACACTAATATAAACAATGGGGAAATAAAGAAGTTGGGTAAGAGCAAGCTGGTTTCAGATCAAGGCAGAAAACACAATTATCATGTAGCCATTTAATCTCTCTTTATTTACTTCCTAGACTATACTCTTCAAGGCGATCTATAATATTTGTTAGAAATTTCTAGATCACAAATTCCATTGAAGTCATTGCTTGAACCAAGAGGTTATCGTAAAAGCAGATGAATCGTCGATATGATTCAAAATTCATAAAACTGTTCGCAATGGATTCAGTACGTCCCCTAGCCTTTTCAATATGCACAAAGATTATCTCACACAGGAGGCTAGGGATAACTCATACTAAAATATTCATTATTTGATTGATGAACACAAGTAAAGCAGCGAGATAATAATTTTTCCATGATTACTAAGAAAATCAAGGCCCTGGTAGCTGGAAAGTAGAATTTTATAGACAAAAAAATAGTAATAGCAAAACCTTGAAACAAGTGCATACTTTTGTTTGAAAGGAGTCGTACGTTACAAAAGGATGCAGCTGCAGTCAGGTGATTAGAAGCAGGATTGGTTTCTCTAGAAATGGATTTTTCAGAATCGCACGACATATATAAGTGATATTATCCGGAAAATAACTCAGGCAGGGTTTGTTTTGCTACGATCTGGGCTATTGCAATTTATGTGTGTTGAATGTAAAAATGAAGATGGTGAGCGGCTGAAAGTTAATGATTTGTAAGATGTGATGCCACAGATAGCTTTAAAAAACGAGATGGCGTTTCAGTAACATAGAGTGTAGCATCTCTTCCTAATACAATTCAAAGATAGAAATACGTGGTATACTAGATGTACTTCCGCGGGGTCCACGAAAGTGTTCTGTTTCAAGAGTAAATAAAATCAAGAGTAACAAATACTTTTATTTCATGCTTTTGAAGCTCGTGTGTCATGCTTTGTTGTAACCAACAGAGTGCATAATTCTTCTCGTTATTCATGGCCTGCGCACCTTTTTGCTGACGTCATGACAGCACAGATTGCAACATTAAGCGTCCCTTATGTGACGTCATTATATTGTCTATTGACTGACTGGCAGACAACACACTACTATATAGTGATGTGAGTAGTAAAAACAGGTGACTCCTCCAGACGATTTTCGGCCCCCTTTCGGAGAAATTATTTACGTCTCACAGCAGGAAGACAGCACAACAGAAATGATCACAGATGGTGTGATTCTAGTGTAGCTGTGGGAGGTAGGAGGCTCGGTAAAGAGTTAAGTTAGAAAGCTCTGTCGATGATAAAAAACAAACAAAAAACCAGCAACAATAGAAATACGCGACTTTGTTTGTTTATGGTGTCGCCTATCATTAGTGATAATGGTGTCACTGAGGTTTCTTAAATTGATACATTTGGATCTGAGAAAATTATGGCCAGGTGGTTAGGAAGCTTGACTCGCAAACTGCGGGTCATGGGTTCGAATCCCCGTCCACCAAACATGCTCGCCCTTTCAGCCGATTCGTTGGTAAAAGAGTAGCCCAAGAGTTGGCGGTGGGTGGTGATGACTACTTGCCTTCTCTCTAGTCTTACACTTTTAAATTAGGGATGGATAGTGCAGATAGCCCTCGTGTAGCTTTGCGCAAAGTTAAAAACAAACAAACAAACAATCTGAGAAAATTATATTGTTAAGGTAATCAATTGTTTGTCTTGTAACAAATTTAGATTAGAATAGTTTAAGATACACGTAACTTCTAAAATTGATCTTTTGGTTTTGATAGCCGCGATAATGTAAATTGAATGCTTGAACTACTATTTTGCACTTTTTCAGTTTAGTTACAATTGCCGTTATAATGCAAATTTAATTTTTTTAAACCAAGATACGAACGGTAATCAGTAAACCTACTTACTTACATGCTCTAGCGTAAATCAATGCAAAGTTTGAGGTCAGGTTTCGGGGAATCCCCGCAAAAGTGCTTTAACGAAATTCCCGAATTTCCCAAGGAGTCGGGTGAAAATGTTATCTCTGTGCAAGCCTCCGGGCTGAGACGATTCGCTTGGTACCATTTAGAAGTCGGTGCAACCAGCAGTTTAGGAGGAGTTAGGTGACACATACACCTCCCCCAAACACACACACACATCCATTGAATCTTATTATGTGGATTATATGTGTGCATGTTAGTTTGTTTGCTTTACAGATGTGTTTACATTGTTGGGGGTTATTAATGCTAGTATCTTATTTAACTTAACGTGGGATATCTTACTTGAAATTTTCTTTTATGATCTTTGTCTTTAATATTACTTACGTTGGTTGGTTACTACTTGATTAATAAAAACGCTTACAGGAATTACAAAAGAAAACATAATAATATGTTTAATACACTAGTATTTTGTATTTGCTTTAAACAGAGCATTACACTGCTCTTATAAGTTTATCGCTGTATGATTATTCCAAATGTCATGCATTACTCCCCACAATTTAATCAATTTCTTTGGTTGCCGTTTGAATTTCTTAAATTCCAGATAAGCTTATGTAGCTGTTATGATATTGCCATCAGGCTTTGCGCAGGCCATTCAATAACTTTAGCTTTAGCTTCTTCTTCCTTCTACGTATTGTTCCATTACATTTGCTGCATGATTGAGATCATAATATTGGTGGAAGATGAATTCCTGTCCACCTGGTCTTCTTCTTGTACCTATCAGCAGTCAGGAATCCATCACTTTTGTGTAGGTTTCCAACACCATTGGCTGAGATTCAAGCCATACAATGTTGGTTCCCCAGGATATTACACTGCAGATGTTGTACGTTGACCATGACACCGCTTTCCTCTCTGACATCTAAATATCATTCATTGTTGATAGATAATTTCAATTTGGATTCATCTCTAAAAAGTATTCTCCATTAGTTTCCTCGTACTATTATTTGAAGTTTGATGTCAATTTTAGCCTTTTGGTTTGGTTTTCTCTCTTAAGCAGTAGTTGTTAGCAGCCACAGAATTATTGAGGCCACATCGTGCTGATGTATATCTTACTATTCTAGAGTTAACATTTACTAACATTTATAAATGTACATATTAGCAAGATCTTTACTGAACATTCGTGTATCAAGTAAAGACCCTGAATATATTTAATATTATTACTGAAGAGCTTTGGCTTTCTACTTCGAGCGCTCATGTTATCAAATCGACTAGTATCACGTAGTTCCTTCAGATTTTCAAAACAACTATAACTCAAAAAATTATTATTTTGCCTTAACTTGTCATCTGAAATACCTTTTACTGCCCAAGGTTTTCTTTTTACATGAGTGTCTAGCGGCATTTCTGTTTTGAGGACCATGAGTGCATTACTATAATACTAATGCGAGTATTATTAATTCTTGTATTTTAATGACCATTATAGTGGTCTGTCTGATTGGTTATGTCGTAGTTAATCACAGACTAAATTATCACAGTGTCTAGTTCTATTAATTTCTTCACAATAGAGGGGGAGCAATTCCATAATACTTGCATCTTATACCTATAATTATTTCCAATATTATACATATATTCGGTTTATCCTTTTACTAAATAAGGCAAATTGTCTAAAATTAAGACATTTTTCAGCTAAGTGGCATTACCTTTTCCATTCTGGACAGATGAAGGGCATAGAGATCATGGGCTCGAAACTGCGTGAACCGCATGTTGCTAGACTGGCTTAATTCTGTGATGACCCTCACACTGGGAAACAGCCTAAGATTCAGAATAAAAGAACAGTCAGTTTTGCTTTGCTAGCAGTAGCTTCGATTAAGACACAATTTCGTTTAAATAAGTTAATAACAGAAATGAAGAATACTGTACTTGTTTAGCCTCACAAGAAACTAGTAACGCGAAATTCCTTCTGTGACAGATCTTATGGTAGCAGTCGTGGAAGCTTTAACACAACTTTACTACAGGCTACCATAACTTAAACATCTTTCCAGTAGAATAGTTATTGTGTCTACGTTACTTTAGATCTACTAACAACATTTGTACATGTACAACTTTATCTCCATTGACTGGCTACTTTCATTAGGAACCCCCTCCCCTCTAATACGAAGTTGAGGGCACGGGCTGAACTTTTATTAAAGCTCTGGATTTCGGAGCAAGCATGCGAGGATACAATCCATGCGATACCATAAAGCATTTCCCGTACTTTAAACTGCGGAGGAGTTTTATTAGTGACAGTAAATCCCTTAATGTGAATGGTTGTTAGTAGGGATCTCCTTACTGGCTGTCTTCCCTCCAGTCGTTAGTTGAAAATTAGGGATGGCGCAAGAAGGCCTTAGTAGATTTGTCATAAATACAAAATAAACCTGTGCTCAGCGAGGTATAGGCTTTACAAAAGATGAATGAAGGTCTCTTATTTGACAGGAGTGGAGAGTAAGTATAGAAGCTAGTTTGCAGCTGTCAGGAGAGAAAGTCGTGGAAAATGCCACGTTCGAGGTCAGATGGATTGAAATGCGATAATTTTGTTTGTTATGGATGAAGCTACTATCGTAAGTTTGGAAAATGCTAGTGCTGAAGATCGTTTCTGTCTCATCTTGGAAGAAATCTTTTTCACCAGCATTGAGCTCCAGTATAATGGTACACTCTAGATGTTTCTCTCCTATCTTGGAAAAAACTCTTGTTCACCAGCATTGAGCTCCAGTATAATGGTACACTCTAGATGTTTCTCTCCCATCTTGGAAAAACTCTTGTTCACCAGCATTGAGCTCCAGTATAATGGTACACTCTAGATGTTTCTCTCCCATCTTGTAAAAACTCTTGTTCACCAGCAGTGAGCTCCAGTATAATGGTACACTCTAGATGTTTCTCTCCCATCTTGGAAAAACTATTGTTCACCAGCAGTGAGCTCAAGTATAATTGTACACTTTGTATTTTTCTCTCCCATCTTGGAAGAACTCTTGTTTACCAGCAGTGATCTCTAGAATAATAGTACATTCTGGATGTTTCTCTTCCATCTTGGAAGAACTCTTGTTCACCAGCATTGAGCTTCAGTATAATGGTACACTCTGGATTTTTCTCTCCCATCTTGGAAGAACTCTTGTTCACCAGCAGTGAGCTCCAGTATAATGGTACACTCTAGACGTTTCTCTCCCATCTTGGAAGAACTCTTATTCACCAGCATTGAGCTCCAGTATAATGGTACACTCTGGATGTTTCTCTCTCCCATGTTGAAAAACTCTTGTTCATCAGCATTGAGCTCCAGTATAATGGTACACTCTGTGTGTTTCTCTCCCATCTTGGAAGAACTGTTGTTCTGTACAAAGCTTGGTGCTATAAGGCCGTTTATTACTAGTAACAATGTCTTTGTGCACCAATTCACAAATTAAATAATGAATATTCTTTACATTGTTTAATGATCATAACCAATGGATGATTATTAGGTGAGCAGTAATGAATATAAATATGTAAAAATATTTAACGTGGTTAGTAGAATATGCCTCAAGCGCTAATGAAGTGTATCCCTATACCTGTAAAACTAATACAGTGTACAGAGTATTTTATGTAATACAACCAAATGCAGCTATGACAGGATATAAAATTTGGAAGTGTAAAAAAAAAGGTTAACATCGGAGTAAAGAAATATAGGGAACGTTTCGAACAAATACGAAACTTCCCTTCCCTTTCATTTCATGCATCACATGTTTGAGCATGAATACATTCACCTGTAAAAGTTTGTGTGTCAGTGAGTAAAGTTGTATTTACTATCATTTAGCTCAATAAATTATATCCAAAAATCCACAAAATCGCTTGAGATAATTACGTTTCATGTTGGATTTTGTACTAGACAATTAGGTATAGCATGCATATTCTCACAAATGTAGTAAAAAACTAGTTAATCTTGTACGAAAAGTAAATAAAATTACTGTAATTGTTGACTAGTAACCATCAAAGTAATTTCAATTCTAATGTCACATTTGTGTCTTTTATTTTAAGTTTAAACATTTATTTTGCTTTATTTAATCTCCTTACAATGTATATAAATTTCCTTTAACACTTTAGTGTGTTTGGGTCATAATGAAAAGACAACCAATAAAGTTAACTAACCACGGTTTTAATTACTTATGCTGAGTCAACTGACGCGAAGTACACTGGAACTAAAATTACAGCTAGCTCTAGGTGAAGAAAACTCAATTTTTATTGTTCATGCAAATAGTTTAACTCACGTAATAGTGTATCTTAAATTCACATGTTAATTCATTATCACCTTTTGTATTAATTTGGAAGAAAATAATTATTTTTTATTACTTCTACGGCACAACTCTAGACAGTCGTTCACAGAGACAATGACGTGAGAGAGTACGTCTTTTTTACTTTTGACCATCCACAAAGTATTAGTGATGCAAGAACATTGTACTCTTTCTGTGTAATTTAGTCTGGAAGTACAGGTGATTTGCAGTTTTTCTTAATTTCAGATACATGACTGATTATGGCTCTGTCAAAGCATGAGAAGGTCGAGTTAATCCCACTGTAAAATTCAAAGTTGTCTTGAATTACAAGAACAGCATATGAAACACAATTCTTTGAAGTGCCTACGGTTCCAGACTTTCTGAACACCTGTACATAGTTTTTAGTTTTGACAATCCACACAATATTACTAATGCAAGAATATTGCCCTCTTTCTATATGGCTTACAATTGCTATGACCTGCAGATGTATTTTAGAAATTCAAGTTTGTGTCTATTCCTTGTTCTTTTAGTTTGGCCCCCAAGTGGCACAGTGGTATGTCTGCGGACTTACAACGCTAGAAACCGGGTTTAGATACCCGTGGTGGGCAGAGTAAAGATGGCCCATTGTGTAGCTTTGTGCTTCCTTACAAACAAACAAAATCATTCAGTTTGTGATACCCATATCTTCAGACAGAGCTTCAGCCTGTGTAAGCTGAAACACAATATAATATCAAACATACATGATAGGAGTAAGTAAGGGACTCACATACTACAACTTGTTTAATCTGTAAACTCTAACAATATATTCAGTTTAGAATGTATAGGATGAAAATTCTAACAATATATTCAGTTTAGAGTGTATAGGATGTAAACTTTAACAATACATTCAGTTTAGAGTGTATAGGATGCAAACTCTAACAATATATTCAATTTAGAGTGTATAGGATGTTAACTTTTACAATATATTCAGTTTAGAGTGTATAGGATGCAAACGTTAACAATATAACAGTTTAGAGTGTAAATGATGCAAACTCTAACAATATATTCAGTTTAGAGTGTATAGGATGTAAACTTTAACAATATATTCAGTTTAGAGTGTATAGGATGCAAACTCTAACAATAGATTCAATTTAGAGTGTATAGGATATAAACTTTTACAATATATTCAGTTTAGATTGTATAGGGTGCAAACGTTAACAATATAACAGTTTAGAGTGTAAAGGATGTAAACTTTAACAATATATTCAGTTTAGAGTATATTGGATGTAAACTTTAACAATATAACAGTTTAGAGTGTATAAAATATAAACTTTAACAATATATTCAGTTTAGAGTGTATAGGATGCAAACTTTAACAATATCACAGTTTAGATAGTATAGGAAGTTTTTCAATTTGATTTCATGATGAATAGTTGATTGCTACAATCCATAGAGAGCAACTTTAAACTGCAAACAGTGAATTGGTCATGCTATATATATATATATGTTAGCTTTAGCCTATATTAGTATATGCATTAGTATTATTACTTTTTGTTGTTTATTTCACCGTCACATGTTTATTTTACTGGAATAATAAACATTGTGTTTATGTTTTTCAACATTTTGAATGCACTTTACCGTGTTTTAGTAATTTACTTTTTAACGTACTTGTTCACTTGACTTACTACATCTGGTTTTCAGAATGAGGGTGAAATGTAGAAAGTGTAACATTTATATTCACACACATAAATGAAACCATGCTATTTGCTCATGAATTATTAACCAGTTGACTGATGTCATGAAAATTATTTAACTTTCTTAGTCTCAGGAAATGTTCATCTTAGTCTAGGAAGTCTGTTCTTATTTCTTAAATTATTTATTGTATTTACTGCTATGAAAAATAATAATTTTGTGCTTTCTATAATAGTAGTAAAATTTTGAAAAGTAGTCTCAATTCTGAATCTTTGCTAGAATTATAAATGTAACAAAACATTCACTAAAATCCCATTTAAGTTACTCTGCTATAATCATCTTTAAATAAAGTCAAACAAGTAGTTTATGAAAGTTGAATGATTGGTATTTGGCGAAGTTTGAAGTGAACTTACAGCTCACGTATACTCACCTGAACATAGTTTGTACAGCAACAATGGTATTACAGTGTACAGCCCACGTATACTCACCTGAACATAGTTTGTACAGCAACAAAGGTATTACAGTGTACAGCCCACGTATACTTACCTGAACATAGTTTGTACAGCAACAATGGTATTACAGTGTACAGCCCATGTATACTCACCTGAACATAGTTTGTACAGCAACAATGGTATTACAGTGTACAGCCCACGTATACTCACCTGAACATAGTGTATACAGCAACAATGGCATTACAGTCTACAGCTTACGTATACTCACCTGAACATAGTTTGTACAGCAACAATGGTATTACAGTGTACAGCCCACGTATACTCACCTGAACATAGTCTGTACAGCAACAATGGTATTACAGTCGGCCAAGTGATCTTCTTCAGCAGAATTACTGCTCTCCTTGTTCACCACCACCACGCTCTCTGCTAGGTTAATCCCCGCCTTTAGCAAGTCGTCTAGACTTTAATACAACAATATTTATTATAAACTTATGCAACTTCTCTATAACAATGAATTTAACAAACAGTGAAAAATACTCATATTACTGGAAACATAAACGGTTTTAAAAGGGGGATTTCATTTATCATATTAAAGACACAAACACAGTCATCTTGGATCCCCTATCATCTCTGAGGTAAACATGGTAATAGTGCTTATGTTCACCACCGCCACTTCTTTTTTAAACCAATGGCACAATACCTTTCATTACCGTTGCTAATGAAATCAGTGACAAAGGACTTTTAGTACCTTCAAGTTATTTCTGTGTACTATGGACAGATGTTTTGTGTGTTATGAACATTTTTCTCTATGTACGCTAAACATCTTTAAATATATCTATATACGTAACTTCTAATCCAATAAATAACAGACCATTCAGACCACCAATACTGCATTGAGTAGTAAAACGACCGTGTTTTAACTTTTGTCACATTCTTACGGATAATATTGAATAATAAATAATATTTAATAAATCGATGTATTCCTACTTACTTACGCTTTGAATACATATTTTTCCGATAAAACTCTAGAATCAAAAACATATTTTACTACAAAGATATCAATCTACAGGATATTGGAGAAACCCTACTAACCTTCAGTGGACGTTCCAACAACAGGATATTGGAGAAACCCTACTAACCTTCAGTGGACGTTCCAACAACAGGATATTGGAGAAACTCTACTAACCTTCAGTGGACGTTCCAACAACAGGATATTGGAGAAACCCTAATAACCTTCAGCGAACGTTCCAACAACAGGATATTGGAGAAACCCTACTAACCTTCAGTGGACGTTCCAACAACAGGATATTGGAAAAACCCTACTAACCTTCAGTGGACGTTCCAACAACAGGATATTGGAGAAACTCTACTAACCTTCAGTGGACGTTCCAACAACAGGATATTGGAGAAACCCTACTAACCTTCAGTGAACGTTCCAACAGCAGGATATTGGGGAAACTCTACCTACCTTCAGTGAACGTTCCAACAACATGATACTGAAGAAACCCTACTAACCTTCAGTGGACGATCCAACAACATGATATTGGAGAAACCCTACTAACCTTCAGTGAACGTTCTAACAACAGGATACTGAAGAAACCCTACCAACCTTCAGTGGACGTTCCAACAACAGGATATTGGAGAAGTCCTACTAACTTTCAGTGAACGTTCCAACAACAGTAAATCTTCAAAACCATAAAACTCTTGATGCATAACATTTCAGGCAGCGTGATCATTTTATCTTTCTTTATAGGTTGAAATTTTTGTATTTTTATTTAAAATTTTTTGTTAATATAAGAAAGTCGGGAATCGAAATCTTAAGTCAGGTTTTTATATCCGTCCTGCGTTATGACCAGTCTCAGTTTCTCTTCTATAAAAAGTAATTCATTATGATAAGTATTTAAAAAAAAAATGGAAAAGGATATAAATTAATGCAGCCTCTTCATAGCAGGGACAAGAACAAATTCTTCTATCGACTGAGTAGAATTTTATTATTCTGGTATGTGCTGCTAGTTCGGACAAACGGACAGAACCTGAAGAAGACAAACCACAGAACTGTCGAAACACGAGGCCTAAAATAAATATCACTGTGCTTGCAAATCGTTGGTTGTTAATTTACCTCTGTATTAGCATAATGTGATTCCCTCGCCATGTAATGTAACGTATTGTTGTATTTTACATACAACATTTTAATTATTGGAAGTCATATTGTGTTACAGAACTGATAACACAGGTATGCACAGTGTATATACATGCTTATAAAAATAGTGTGATGATATTAAGAATGTTTTAACCACCTTTTCCTCTAACTAAATTAATCATAATTACTTCATTCATTTTAAGAAACAAGAACAAAATACACCTTTAAGAGTTAGCACATCAAATGATCTTGAGAGTCCTGTGAACTTACCACTAATTTTGTTGTCAGACTAAGTGTAAGTGACCAACTTAAGTATATTTTAAACTACCGAGATTACAAAACACGCCGACAGCTGCCTTTTTAGCGGTTTTTAATTAAGAATCGTTTTCTTATTCAATCCTCACTTAACTTAGACGATTATCTTAGGAAGCGACTTATCACGTTATTTAGTTAAATAAACAGTAAGGAAGATGTTACTTGTACTTAGTGTAATAAGGAATATGTTAATTGTACTTATTGTAATAAAGAATATGTTTATTGTACTTAGTGTAATAAGGAATATGTTAATTGTACTTAGTGTAATAAGGAATATGTTTATTGTACTTAGTGTAGTAAGGAATATATTTTTTGTACTTAGTGTAATAAGGAATATGTTAATTGTACTTAGTGTAATAAGGAATATGTTTATTGTACTT